CCCGCACGCACCGGGAGGCGAGCCCCGGGTTGGGAGCAGGACGGCTTTGCCCATCCTCGCTCCATCCCAGGGATGCAGGGAAGTTCCCCCACCCTGCATGGATCGGTGGGAACCTGCTGCAGGAAAGGCTTGGGGCCAGCCTGAAGGCTTCGCTAATGAGCAAAAATTAATCTGGGCAATTAATCCCCCAGCAGTTGATCAGTTAAGGGAAAAACACCCAAACCCAAATAAATGAAATTGTTTCTACCAACAGAACCTAGGCAACCTGAATGTTCGTAGTTTTTCTCTTGGAATCTTTTGGGTGGCTTTTTCCATACCTGAAGGCTTCTGTCCAAATTTCTGTCCACATTTCCCCAAATCTGCCCTAATCCACCCAAGAACACAATTTTTATCTACTGGATGAAGACTACCATTTTTTTTTTACAGCAAACCTAATCAGTGCAGCATCAAATACTCCAGGTAAAATCCACAGGTGTGTGCCACCAATGTTTGCCCCAACATAAACACAGAATGTAAATAGGTGTTTTGATTTTGGGGTCACTTCTGCCCCCTTCTGACCTCTGGGGCCAGGGGCAAAGCTCATTTTCCCCTGCCATTTTGGGGTGGGGTTTAGGAAATGCTTGCCTAGTCAAGGATATAAAGAATCCTACAAAACCTGCGGCGGACTTGCTGCCCCTGATGCTGCAGCCACGTTTCACACCTGAACAAACCATGGTTTGGGCTGAAGTCACCCAACACCCCACTGTGGGAGGGAAATGCCTTTTTCACAGTGAAAAGGCACAAAAGGGGTAAAAAAAACAAACAAAAAAAATCATCTTTAGTCATGGAGGTAGAAACTGGGATTGCCTGGATGTCATGGAATCATGGTTTGGGTTGGAAGGGACTTTAAAGCCCATTTGGCTTCACCCCTTACCATGGCAGGACACCTTCCACTGTTCCAGGCTGCTCCAGCCTGGCCTTGGAGACCTCCAGGGATGGATCTCCAACCCTGGTGGGATCCCTGCCCGTCCTGAGGCTGCTCCAGAGAGGTTCCAACCCTTGCTGAAATCCCCACGGATCACCCTGCCCTGTGTGACCCCAGGATTCTCCTCCCTAAACACAGCTGATGCTTTTCTTCCCACCACTGTCCTTCCAAGCTGTCACCCAAATTACAATATGTCCCAAATGTGCAATTACCAGCATTTAAATATATATAAATGTTAAATATAGCAGTGCTAGAGCCAAGAATAGGTTATTATTGCAAGCAGGACTCATCCAAGGCTCTGTAATCACGGAGTGTGCAATATGGCAGCAAGAACAATGGGGCTTTCATGGGCTCTGGAGCAGCCCAGCATCTCCACGGGCCCAGGTATGCAGGAGCAGCCCCACTGCACCCGGAATGCCATCCATCCCAGCCCCTGCAGCAACAACAGCACATTGTTCACATTGTTCCTGCTCCTGCCCCAACGTGGGCAGCCTCAACAGAGCCCTCGATTGTGCCCCCACAATGCACGTACAATTTATAGTAATGGTGCTTATTAAAGGATTGCTGGTGATTAACAGCAATGTCCTCTTTCACTGGCTTTTTTTTTAAACCACTTTTCTTTTTTTTTTTTGCCTGTCATAATAACAAACATTCCTGGGAGATGCTCTGGAACACATCCTATAGGTCTTGGCAGGGAAGCTGGAGAGAAGCTTTTGAAAGCCTGCCAGTGTTATCTGACATGGATCTCCCAGGTATGACACAAAGCCAAATCCTCCTGGGTCCAAGAGGACCGTGGGTGGCCAGGAGGGCACCAACCTCTTCCCAAAGCCAAACTGCATCTGGGATGGGGGAAAAAGGGGGACAGGGACCAGCCCTGCCATTGCCAGCACCCTCAAAAGCATCAGCAGAGCCCAAACCCCGACTGTGGCAGTCCAGGTGTTCAGTAAGGAAAATTAATATCAGCAATTTCTGCTTTTAAAAAAAACCCTCAGTATTTGATACATTCCTGATCAAAAAGAAGAATGCAGGGGTTAAAACACAAAATGAAGAATTGACACTTAAATGATGTTGTACGAGCTCTACTTGCAGGTTATTTTAATGCCTTGAAAATGGGGGGCGGATGGGGCCCCCCAAGGGATGGGGAGGGCTGGGGGACACATTGCACCCCCTTTTCCCCCAGGAATGGGGGCTCAGAGTGTCTGAGCCCGAGCAGAGAAAGCACCACAAACCTGCTGTGCCAGAGCCAGGGGCTCTGCCAAAAACTAAAATGCCTCATAAAATCCTGCTGGTTTTGCTGGAAGCTGATTTTGAAAGGAACCAGAGAAAAAAGGTTTTGACAACATCAGAATGTCCCATTTCCTTTGTTTTCATGACATTGCCATGATTTTCCAGTTCAAACTGACTTTTCATTTTGCTCTTGCAAATGTTATACCCTGCGTGGTAGCACACTGTGATAGGACCTTGGCCCCTCTTCAAAATGGAAAAAGCTAAAATCAGAACGAGACATTTTGATAAATCCAAAGTATAAAAAAAAATTATGTTTGAAGATTTTTCCTCCATGGAGAATTTCCCAGCTGCTGGACTCCACACTCCCAGAGCTCCTTGGCATCTTGAAACCCTCTGTGCAGAGATGTGATCTCACCTCAGCACCTCAGGCTGTGCCCCCCATCCTGGAGGAGCTGCAGCCTTGGCAAAACCCTTCCCAGGGGATGTAACCACACCTTCCCAACTCTTCTGGGGCATAAAATCCTGCAATGGTTTGGTTTGGAAGGGACATTAAAGCCCATCCAGTGTCATCCCTGCCATGGCAATCCCAGGCTGCTCCCAGCCCTGCCCAGCCTGGCCTTGGGCACTGCCAGGGATCCAGGGGCAGCCCCAGCTGCTCTGGGCACCTGTGCCAGGGCCTGCCCACCCTCCCAGGGAACAATTCCCAATTCCCAATCTCCCATCCATCCCTTCCCTGTGGCAGTGGGAGCCATTCCCTGTGTCCTGTCCCTCCATCCCTTGTCCCAATCCCTCTCCAGCTCTCCTGGAGCCCCTTCAGGCCCTGCAAGGGGCTGTAAGGTTTCCCTGGAGCCTTCTCCTCTCCAGGTGAGCATTCCCAGCTCTCCCAGTCTGGCTCTGGAGGATCACCCTCAGCCCTGTCCTGATGTGTGGGGACATCAGTGCAGGAGCCTCTGTCAGGCCAGGGAATGCCCAGGTGGGTGCACTGACATCCCAGCCCCAGGGCCAGCTCTGCTGTGGCACCTTTCCTCCAAGTGGGATCCAAGTTTCTCCATCCATCCATCCATCCATCCATCCATCCATCCATCCTCCATCCATCCATCCATGCATNATGGATATGGGGAGGCCACACAGCCCCACAGCCCGGGACCCATCCTGGTGGCCTCCACACAGGACACGAGTGGCCCTGTGGCCACCTCCAAACGTCCCTGCTCGCCCCACAAACAGCATCTTATCACAACGCGCACAGCATGGATGTCTTTGAAAAACAACTCAAGCTCTTTGTCCTTCTCTGCACACCCAGAGCACAAACCCAGAGCAGGACCAGGACCCCCATCTCCTCCTGCCCCACCACCAGCCCCCATGGAGGGGTGAAAGCACCAAGAGCTGCCAACCAACCTGAGAAATCTCCGGGCGTGACGTTGGGAGAGTTTGTAGCCTCTGTTTCAGTGTAAGACAACGTGGAATCTGATAGATCTGGGGGAGAAAACAAAAGAAAGACAAGCACTTTTAGCCCTGCTGCGTTTGCCAGTGCTACGTGAGCACCCGGGGCTGCTGGGCTCCCCAGCTCCTCCCCAGGAGAGAAACTCTGCACAGAGCCAGAGAGCAGCCATTAACTTTGGAGCTCCACCACGCAAATGCAAAGTTTGAATTGCCTCGACCACAAAAATAACTCCAGTTAGGTTGATCAAACAAGTAGGAACTTGGTGCTTACTGGATAAAGTTACATTAAGCCTCTAAACAAGTCAGAGTTACTATACTTAATTATCACCATTAAAATTCTTGAAGCTGTTTATTCTTGCTTCCTTCCTTCCTCTTTGCTGAAGCGAAGGAAACTTTGTTTTAACAAGTTAAGAGTCTTTGTTATTCTCTCTTGCTTACACCCCTCTAATTAAGTGCTCAAATGTTTGCTCACAGATTAACTATTATTTTTCCAATCAAACAAGCCAGTGAAGCAAATTTCAACCCCTGGCTGTTGTTTTAATAAAGTCACGTGTCGCTCACTATCATCTCTCCCTGCAGCACAAGCAGTTTCTAAAAGGAATTAACTTGGAAGGGGGAGTGCAGGGAGGGACAACTCCTTTTTTTTGCCTCCACACCTAACAGAAAAAAGAAAAAAAAGCCACCAGCAGCCAAGTCGGCCTTGCAGGCAGCTCAGGTCACAGCCCTGTGGCGATGGAGGCGCCGGGCACGGGGTGCACACACGGCTGAGCTGCTCCCAGGCTGGCAGGGCAGGGGCAGCAGTGCCTTCCCCCGGGGCTGTCCCCTCCTAGCCCTGCCAAACCCCGTCTGTCTCCTCCCCGTCCCTGCCCCACGGCAGCAAAAGCAGCTCCCCCGGGCATTAACCCCAAGAAATCACTGACCAAGGTCTCAGCTGCACTGATCCCAGCAAGAAATCCAAGAGGGATGTGGGATTCCTCCCTTCCCTCCCATGCTCCCAGGTCTTTGCTTCCCAATTAATTGCATAATGAAGAAGCAGGGCTGGAGAGGATGGTGAGGATGCAGCAATGGCAGCTCAAAACATCTCCAGGCCAGCGTGCAGCACACAGGACCAGGATCCAGGGCTGCCAACCCAGCACCCAGCCTGGCCACCCCAAAGCTGCTCTCACCAACTCTGCCTGGAAAACCTTCCATAATTCCCCAGGAGAAGCGACACCCCGCTCAGAAAAGACACAGGGCCGAGTTTCAAAGGGTTTCCATCTCTTTGTTAGGAGCAGAGGAAGGGTAATAGCTGGTTCCTGCATGGAGCAGCCCAGCCAGGCCTTTATGGAAATGGCACCAGGAGCTCCCACTCCCGCAGATTACACACGCAGACAAAACATGACGTCTGGTAACCTTTCATTACGCCTTCATTAAAAATAGAGCTTCATATTATTTTGGAAAATATGCATGTGTCTGCACGGTAATTTGGTAGGATAAACTGGCATCCATTTACTTCTTAAAACTTGTCAGCTGATGCTTGCTCAGAAATAATGAGCAGCCATAAAAACCCGACTTGTTGGCTTTTGCCTGGCGTGCCAGGCAGGGCTGTCTCAGAACCAGCACCGGGGCTGCACCATGAAAGAGTTCCCCGAGATCAAAAGACACAAAACACAAAACACGTACCCAGTGGCTTTTGCTCATCATTAGGAGACAGCCGAGAGTAGGGAGGTGGTGGAGACTCTGGAAAAACAAAACTTCAGGTTAGTGCTGTGCTCGGTTTATCAACAAACCCTCTCGCTTTCCCTTTTGGGGTAAGAGGAACTCTTCCAAGGTTATAAACACCCAGTGGAAAACAAAACACTTGGAAGCAACTGGAGACCAAGGTTTCCCTAATTTTTGAACAATGGGAGTCCCACCTTGAACTTTCAAAGTGGGCTTTGCTACTGAAAGTGCTGCACCCCTCTGCCCCATATCTGTGTCTGGACACCCACAGATTGAGTCACACAAAACATCAAATTGCTCTCCAAGAACCCCACTTCCATCATCTGCACTGGGAGACAACCTTCCATGGGTGACTCCAACACACAGGGCTCAACAAGAGCTCCCCAAACACTTCCCAAGCACTGGAAAGAAGGACTGGGTGGTGAGGAGGCTCCTCCTGGCACACAGGGCTGGCACCAGAGCCGGGCTGGTTGGCCACCAAGCCACCCCATAACCTCAGTCCATCCCAAAAGGCCTTGGCACTAGAGTGGCTCAGGAGCAGAGGCCACCATGACACCCTCACCCTGAATCCATCCCATAAAGCTCCTGAGCTCAGCTTTATGCAGCAGCACTGAGCAGCCATGTGCTCCAAGCCCAGCAAGCCCTCAGAGGTGCTTTGCTAGACCAGGTCATTCAACCACTCTCACTGTTCTTGGAAGGGTCCAAGCCCTGATTACAGGGGTTTTTTTCCCCCTTCCATAGTATGGCAGTGATGTTTCTTGAACTGTAACTTGCCAAAACTGAGCGTGCAGCCAGCTGGGCTGTACCAGCATTGAGCAGGCACTGGCTCCAGTGAGAAATCGCTCTGTCAAGTCCCTGAGTGGCACCAAAGCGACCCCAGAGCAGGGAAACGCGGCAGTGCCCTCAGCACCCACCCGGAGCTGAGAGCAGCACCTGCAGCTCACCCGGCTGGGCTCCCCAAAAAGCACCTCAGCATCCCCCGTGAGACGGCTCTAGGGTCACCCACTGCTTCTCACAAAGGCTTCCCCATTCCCCCCAAGGGAGCAGGGTGCTCTTCTCGCAGGGTGCTTATAAATCCCAAAATACAGAAAAATAAAGGTGCTGGTGTCCCCATGTGGAGGTAACAGGCAGACCCGGCTGTGTTGGTGCCACTCCATCCTGCTGTCACCGGGGACTCGTTGGAAGCCCCTCAGGACTTTCACACCCCAATGGGTGGGAAGCAGCAGCAGGACGATCCCTGCAGGGAGCCGCTTGTGGAAAAAGGGCATCAAGGCCTTCTCCTGGCTCCGGTTACCAGCGCCCAGCCGGCGCGGGTGGGGTCCTGGCACAGCCACCCGTTATCAAGGTGATAAGGAGCCACTCGATAACAGCTCTGCTTTCTACTACTCCCAGCACAGGGCTGGCAGCCGCTCACCGCTGGGAAAACCACCCCGGCTGCAGGACAGACACTGGGAAACCTCTCCCGTTTCTGCAAGAAATGCCCCGTTCCTAAAAACGCAGCTCAGCTCCAGCGGGAGCAAAAGAGCTGCCTCCAGCCTCTAGCGACCTTCGGGAGAAGCACGCCCAGAAGAGAAGTTTCTTTGAAAGAAGTGATGCAAAGCGAGGCAGGAGCCCAGATTGCAACAGAAATAATAAAATCAAAGTTCTTGCCAAAAAAAGGGACAGTCAGCACAGAATCATAGGATGGTTTGGGTTGGAAAGGACATAAAAAATCATCTCGTTCCACCCCTGCCATGGCAGGGACATCTTCCACTGTGCCAGGCTGCTCCAAGCCCCATCCAACCTGGCCTGGGACACTGCCAGGGATCCAGGGGCAGCCCCAGCTTCTCTGGGCATCCTGTGCCAGGGCCTGCCCACCCTGCCAGGGAACGATTCCTTCCCAATATCCCATCTAACCCTGCCCTCTGGCAGTGGGAATCCAGCAGTCCAGTCTCATTACAGTTTTTGTACAGCCTATTAAATATTATTTCCATTTCTGCACCTCAAACTCCAACATGTCTCTGCTCCATCTAACCATTCCCTGCTGACATGGACACACGATCGAGCGTTGCTGAAAAAAACAAAAAACCCTCAACGAGCCCAAACCCACGCCTGGAAAACG